GTTCTTACAAGGAAATCATATGCTATATAATGTTTTGCAGCCACATTTTCCAGTTGGCTTGATTGTTTTAAAGTGAAAAACTGTTTTCCATACTATCCTTTCTTACTTTGCAGTTTTACTGAAAAATAAATCTGAGTGCACAGAGCTGTGTGCTGGCAGGTCCTTGCTGCTTTGCTGGGCTTGAAGTTATCTGCTCCCTTTTGTGCAGGCTACCCCTGCTGCCTCTGCCCTGCCCTGGTGTCCAGCTTTCTAACAGACAGGATGCCTCAATCTCTACCCCCTAGAGACCCCCACAGTGAACCAACCTCTTTCTCCAAAGGCATCCACTTCCCCAGAGCATTCTAACATTGAAATCCACAACCCCCACCTGTCTTTCCATTGCAGGCTCAGGTGTGATCTTTACTTTGAGGATTCACTCATCCTCCTGGACCAACATAACAGGTCTCTCCTAAGTTCTTTGGGAATACTACGTACATCCACCTTTCTAGTATTTTCTACACAGTCCTAAGAGTCTTGGTGTTATGATCTGAATATGAGGTGTCCCCTGAAAGCCCATCTCATTAGATTTTGAGAGCTGTAACTTAATCAGTGGATTGATCCATCTGATGGATTAAAAATTTGAAAGTACTTCAGTACTGGGTGATAACACTAAGCAGGTAGGGTATGGCTGGAGGAAGTAGGTCATCAGGGATGTGCCTTTAGAATTTATATTTTGCCCTTGGCTCTCTCTCTTTTTCACTCTTTGTCTTTGCTTCTTGGCTGCCATGGACTGGGCAGCTCGATTCACCACATGCTTCCACCATGTTGTTCTGCCTCATCTCAATCCTAGAGTGATGACATGGTCCAACTATAAACTGAAACCTCTGAAACCTAAGTTTTTCTTGTCTGGTATATTGTGTACACTTGGTTTTCCATCTTACTAGTACCAAATGTCAGTGTGATACCAGAGCTGCTTTTTCCTTGTGTCAGCACCTAGATCCTGGCACGTGTTAGGTAGAAATTTATTTGGACCATTGTATAACCATTGTTACTGAAATGTTTGTTAAATTGATGGATGAATGACTGAATGAAGCCTTGAAGAACCTTCAAGTGCTGAGCCAATAAAATCTTGATTAACCCTGAAAAAAAAAAAAAAGCTTGCTGTGATTTACTTAATTTTATGGTAGAATAAAAGTGAAAAAGGATTATTTGGGGAAAGTTGTCAGGTGGCCTCTGACAGCTCTAGTCCCTTCAGTGCACCTTGGGCTGATGAAGTATAATTTCAAAGGGGTGATTTCTCAGATTCTTACCTATTTCTACCATCCTCTCTTATACCAAGCTATTTCCTTCCAATCTCTAGATAAACAAAAGCTCCCTCTTTTGTAGGTCCAGATAGATGATTCCTGAAGGCAGTGATTCCAGTTGAATTAAAGATGTTCATATTTAAAGATGTGCATATTTGTTTTCATTTCTAGACTACTAGTCTGAGAAGACTGGCTCACTTCCTAGGCTAGGTTTTCAGGAAACAGGCTTGGACAGATTGGGAAGTATAAAATGTTTATTAGGGATAGGCATGTGTGAAAGGAGGAAGAGGAGGAGGGAATAGGATTGGGCAGGGGAGAGGTTGGAAGTGTTGCTATTCTATGAACCTTGGTCAACCCAGTGGATTGCTCTGGAGATAGTGGTGCTACCGGAGCCATTCAGCTTCTGCTTTACCGAGTCACCTCATACATGTGGCTAACCTCACCTCAGCATAGCCAATCTCTGCAGCTAAATCAGGCCTGAAGAGTCTGGCAGGTGACCTCAGTCTTTTCTTGGCTGGGCAGCAAATCTTTCCTTGAAGGGGCATTGAAACCATGACATCATCCTTTCTACCATAGTCCCAATATGGAAACCACCACCATGACCTGATACTTCTTGCTTCATGAAATCTCTCATTTCTTCCTCTATTCCTCCAACCCAGATATCCATATCTTAAGTCCCTGTCTTTTCCATCTTTGATGACCAAAGTGGCTTCAGAGCTATTTCCGTAACTCCGGGCTTCCTTTCCTAAAACGTTGCCAGAAATTTTCTAAAATACGGTGTCATGGTTCTTCCCACAGTAATGCTCTTTCAGTGGACTCTGGTGGTCTTGGTGGTGAGATTCATAGTAGTAGGGTTGACAAAGCCTGCTCTCTGGCAAACCYTGTCCTCCTACCCTCATCTCTGACCCTTCTCCCACAGCGTAAGCACCAGTTCACCTGCCCCTTTTGACAGTTCCTGCACAGGTGCCTCCTCACTTCTTCCTTGGTCTTTGCTCCAGATGGTTCCTTTGTTGAGACATCTACCCATGGTCCTACAGCACATGATTAGACCACAGACTTCCTGCCTGACTGCCCAGGACTGCGTGCCTCACTGTGGCCTGCAGCCTCCTTTTGGGAGCAGAGAGGATCCTCAATCAAATCTACCTCACAACAACTAAAATCTTCTAAATGACTCTAGATAAGAATGCCTCACCCTGCTAATCCTCATGTTGTCTGGAGCTTATTTAATGAAAATCACCCCTTTGCTGTTTGTGGAGATTGGGGATAAAGGTGGAACACAAATTCCATTTGACCTTCCGGTGAAAATTAACCCTTTAACCAAAAAGAAAAAATAATAAATTAATTTAGTGGACAAGATTTCCAAATGGTGCTATTTTTAAAATTCTTGTTCTAAAACTACTTCTCTGGATTCTTTCATTATTTCAAAATACACTTGAGAACAATACCTGTTCTATAAGTGATAAGGTAGTGAATAGGAACATAGATTTTTGTTTCCCGTCAAAGGAGAATCCATGCCCGTCTCCAGCTCTTAAGCTGTGCCACTGTGGGGAATTTACTTTTCATCTTAAATTTCCATTTCCCCATCTCTCTGAAACGGGGGATAGTACAGGTACTATTGTACCCCTCATGGAGGTGTGCTATTAAAATTAGGTGAGAAAATGACTATTATGTATTTAGCACAGTGCTTGACAGAGAAGTGCTCATTACTGGAATGATGTCTATTATGTATCACTCACTAGATGAAGTGACATAGTTAAGATGTTGTCCAAGACCAAAGTGTCCAGAGGCACAAGTCTCCTCTTCCAGGCTTTTGCTACCCTCGGCATTCAATGCAGACTAGAGGTTTTCCTCCCTCCATCTCCTTACTCCAGCATCTTCACCTTGTCCTCTAGACCACCATCCAATAGACATTTCACATAATCTGCATATGTAACTAAATTTCCTGGCAGCCATGATAAAGTTTAAAAAAAATTAAGTGAACCAGGCATGGTGGTGAACATCTATAATATCAGTGACTTGGCAGGCTGAAGCAGGATGATCACAAGTTCAAGGCACAGCCTCAGCAATTTAGCAAGGCCCTAAGCAACTTAGTGAGATCTTGTGTCAAAATAAAAAATAAAAAGGACTGAGGATGCAGCTAGTGGTAAAGCACCCCTGGGTTCAATCCCTAGTACCAAAAACAAAAACAAACAAACAAAAGATTAGGTGAAATCAATATATTATATCTTATTTAACCTAATGTATCCAAAATATCATTTCAACATGTAATTGATTAAAAAAACAATGCGTTATTTGACATTCATTTTTCTAGACTAAATCTTTGGTATTTTGTACATATTTTCTACTTAGCATATCTCAGTTCATACACTGCATTTTTTGTGGGAAATAACTTATTAGATAACTTGAGTTATTATTGAAAAAGTAGATGTGTCTACCCAGGTTGTTTCAGACATAGAGTTTTTCAGTAATTGAATTCAATATCAGTTTTTAAAATTTAGATGAATATTAATTAAAATCAAACAAAATGGAAAACCTGGATCCTCAGTTATCCCAGCTACATTTTCAGGTGATCAATACACATGTGCCCAGTAGCAGCTATTTTGGACCAAGAAGTTCAGAAGCCCCTGAAGAAGATTCAGTCTTCTTGGCTACACTTTTTTCACATTCAGTTGTGCTAGAAGCTCTCTAGTTAAAATGGAGAAACATAGTGCTGTGCAGGTACTCTGTCTCCCTTCAGAAGAGAATGGTTAAGCCATTCACCTTCTGCCCTGCTCTTATCTTCACAATAACTTCTGTGTTCAGAAGTCCTGGGGTACCTTGGCACCCAACAAATTCCTGACCACAATTTAGAATTCCAGAATCTTGGGTCTCAAAGGGGCTTTAACACATTTATGGGTCAATGCCTATCTAATCCCCACAGTAGAGAAAGCCTTATTATAGAATTTTTCGAGGGTAGGAGTGGGCTCAGCTTCTCTTAAATACCTGGGAACAGATGGGTCATTTAATTCTCTTCTGGCTCACATGGTTCTCTGTGTCCTTATCTCATCTTCCTAACTAGGTTGGGAGCATGGACTGCCTTTTACAGCCCCACAATACTCACACAAAGGAAGACAATCAATAAATTATTAACTGAAGGCCTGGCTGACTGTAAGAATTCAAGGTCACTTGAAATATCAGGGTCATTGCATTTCACAAGTCCAAAGAACATTAATAAAATTGTACTCTGTGGTTGTGCAAGTAGCAGCCTTCTAAAGTTTACAAGTTTAGATTAGGCTCTCTCTTCAGCTTAGAAAAACTTTCAAGAAATTCTTCCTTGGGGCAAAATACTTCCCTCCCTTATCTATTAGTAGAAAGAACTATCCAAATAAGTGTTCTCAAATTGTTTAGGAATATATGTTCACCTAGTCTCTAAAAGGCCACTGTATTGTATTTTTTTATATAATTTCCTATTCTTGGAATCTTTCTCTGGTATGAGTGACACCTTGGAGCTCCTAGTTTGCAAACCATCCCAAAGCATGACCCAAATATACCAAGGCCATGCACCTGGGTCACCAAATGAGCAAAGGGACTCTTCTTGGCTGCATGATTTTTATCTTTGTGAAGCTGAGAAAATGCAGGGGAGGAAGGAAGGAACAAAGAAGTTCTCTTAAGAAAACCTCTGTTCGCCTTTGTGTTTTCCAAACTAATGAGTGTTTGTTTTTTCTCATGTCTGCTCAGGAAACCAGGTGCTACCTCCCGGAACTTCTCTTGGAAGTGGGCTCACACCAGAGGCTGCAAAGGAGCTTGGCCTTCGCCCCGGGGTCCCGGTGGCAGCCTCACTCATTGATGCCCATGCCGGAGGACTAGGTAATCTTTTATTCCATGCCACAAACAGCTGTGTTCAAGTGGAACATTCTGAAGAGCTAAGACACCCATTTTGTATATTTAAAGCAAAGGTCAAGGACTAGTGAGTCAAGGTGTAATAATGAAAAGCCTTTTCACAGATAGGCATTTGGATAGAATTATAGACCTATCTTTTCATCCAATATAAAACTATTTATATATTCTTAACTTTTCCAACATAGTAATATAAAAAACTTAATCTGAGCAAGTGTCTGGATGGCTCTTCAGTTTACTGGAAATTTGAAAAGCACATGTTCACTTTTATCTAGTAGGTTTGATAACCATGCACTTACTGTACTCTGTTTTCTAATAGTATTGCAAAACCTTGTAAGTCTAACAGGTTTGTTCTTATAATATTTGGTTTTTGTCATATATCCGTTTACTTGGTACTAGTCTTGATTTCATCTCATATATAACTCTAAAATCTGTGATTCGTGCATTCATTAATTCATTCTCAAATACACATTGAGCATTTCCCATGTCATGGCATGATACAAGGAAACTGAATTTAAAATAAAACCAAACCAGGGCTGTGAATGTAAGACCCCGAGTTTGATTCCCAACACCAAAATAAGTAAATAAAACAAACAAATGTCAAATTTTAGTGGAAAGTACACATGAAGTCAAAAAGATTTATTGTAAAAATGTGGTGACTTTGTTCTTATCCACATTCCTTTTACAATTTTCTTTTCTTTCTTGGGTAATTTGACTCTCTATCAGTGTCTCTCCCTTTACCCTTCCCTGTAGTTATTTCTATATTTCCTAGACTTTCATTCTAATAGCATCTTTTATGAACTGTGGTTCATAGTTCATGGCATGAGTTAAAGAGGACATGACTGTTGGAATTTCAGAATAGAATGGGATCTAATAGAATAGGACAGAGTAGGACACATAGGAGTACATCTCATAGAGTAAGGATAAGCACTGTTTTGTGGACCTGTTTCCTGTGTGTGTGTGTGTGTGTGTGTGTGTGTGTGTGTGTGTGTGTGTATTCTAGGCAATGAAGGAAATGAATTTCTTATTATGAATCATGATAAAAAACCTGACCAGGTTTGGTGGCATACCAGTTACTTGAGAGGCTGAGGTAAGGGGATCACTTGAGCCCAGGAGATTAGAACCAGCCTGGGCAACATTGTCCCATTGGGGATGACTTTTAGGGAACACACACACCACAGCAGCTCTCTACTTTTCCAAGTAGATGACACCTCYGCCCACCTCAATCTCTCTCTTTCTCCTTTTGGTGATCCTGGAGATCATGCATGCTAGGTAAGCACTCTACCACTAAGCTATACTCCTATTCTCACTCCTCTAATTTGAAATCCTTTCTCAGATGGTTTCTTCTCTGCATATACTTCCATGGAGTAGTCAGATATATTAAGAAATTCTCCAGATTGTGCTTCTTTCATTACTTCTATTTTTTTTGAAGAAATGATCACCTTGTGTTTTAGTTTCTGATTTATCTGCTTATCTTTTCCACTAGACTATGAATTCCTTGAGGAGTCCTCAATGCTGAGCCTTATGTTTTGTTTTTAAAGGCGCTTGATAAGTTTACTAAATAAAGTCTCATTAAGACAAGAATAAGGTAAAATGGTCTTAAACTTACAGTAAAGGCTGATATGTTTCCTTGTGTGACAGATTGTTCTTCTGCATGGTCCACAGACCTGCAGAAACAGTATGGCACTCATCAATCTATGAACTTGTCTGTCCTGTTCATCTTTCTGTCCTCAGGCTCTGGCACAGTGCCTAAGAAATAGTAAACAAGCAGAGTGTGTGTGACTGGTCGAGAGGTACATAATGGAGTCCTATTATAGGCAAGGTTGTTTGTCTCAAAGCACTTTGTAGTGTGAGCAGTGTGTGCTTTTGGTTGGAATGCATGATTTGGGTTTTAAGCACAAGCACAGAGAGAACTGAAGGTCCAGCTGGACATGGAGTGCTCCTGTCCCTAGTAATCCTGATGTTCTACATCACAGAAGACTCCAGGGAAGCTTTCTTCATTGTGATTTTGCAATTGTCCCTGGGGCGACAGTCTCAACCACCCACCCGTACCCAGGTGACAAGCACTTGGCTGCTCATCCATGTGCTGAAAGAAATAAGACTGCACTCAGGAGCAACAGGCACTGTCGTTTCCTTGTTGGCGTCCCAGACCTCTGTAAGGGACGTGCCAAACACACTTTCTCACTTCTCCCTAGGACTTTCTGTGCTCTTCAGTAGGACAGACTTCCAGATGACCTTGGCTTTCTCCTAACAGAGATGCTCAATGATAGAATTTTTACCTGTAGACACTTTGGCTTAGACCTTTTGTTCCCTTTAAAATACAAATGCTCTTGAGTCAGTGAGTTTCCTCTATGTTTTCCAAAAGTTAGTTTTTTAAGTGGAAAGATAGGATAAGACATTAGATTCTTTAAGGACTTGAGCTTTGTGCCTGGGAAGGGAGTTCTTGGTCACACAGGATTGGAAATCCCTACTTAACAATTTTGAACAAGTTTGATCCTTCTTATACTACTCCTGTCCCCTTCACCTTATGGCCAGTTCAGGATCAGAATATCTGGGAAAGACAGGAGCCATAGAACAAATGTTCCCTCTCATTTTCCACCTTGCCTCCACCCTCTCAAGATGTGAAGAATAAGAGAGGCCTAAACGTCCTAAAAAGATCACCCACTAGTCAAACCAAAGATTTACAAAGATCATGCAACCTTATCAGCTATGTGTTTGGAAACCAGAGATTATCATCATGAACAAACCATAGAACTCCTATTCCTTTCAAGGAGAAAATTCTCTGGCCTGCTTAATAGTGTTCTCTTATGATAGTGAATCTTCTGAGACTTATTGTAACACTGTGATRAGGGCATTCCACACACAGTCTGAAGATCTGGATTAATTCCTATTCTGCCTACACACAGTGTGCCTTTTAGCATATTCCTTTCTTCTTCTATAGTAAGAGCTAGCAATCTTTTCATAGGATTGGTATAAGAAATGGTAATGTAAATAGTTAAAGCAATTGGCCTACTAACTGGCACACAGTAAGCATGTAATAATGAGGTTTGATTTCCTCACTCCAGAACCACAGTGCCTGACACACAGTAGAAGCTTCATAAACAATGTTGCCTGTTAGGAAGTTGTTTCCTGTTAGGAAGTGTCTTACCAGAACTGGATTCTTAAGGCAAGACATGTGGAGAAGGACCAGAGGTGCTGGACTCCCTCTGCCTTCCCTGAATTTGCCCTCAGTTTTCTTCCTCTTCCCATCTATCACAGAAAGCAGGATTCACTGCTTTAAGATTTTTTCTTGGTCAAGATCAGAAACAGCCCCAGGAACTGCTTGGATGCACTCTGTGTCAAGAGATCCCCAAATGTCAGGAACGAACTCAGCTTTGAAGTAGGAATTGGAGGCCAGCCATGCCTGTCACAAACAAGCTCTGACAACTGTGGTCACTTCCAGTGCTAGCCTAGTATGACCTACCTTGGACTCTATGCCCAAGGAGAACCTGGGATGGGAGGATACAGATCACAGGAGCAAGCACAACTTCACTCATGCTTTTTTCCAGCTCTGGAAACAAGGAGGAAGGACTTTGCCGGAATAGAAATCAAAGATAGAAGAACATTTTGTTCTTAAGGTGCTGGTTAGCAAGTTCTTCAGCAGACAGCCAGAAGATAGGAGTAGCTTTGTTTGCACTTTGTGGGGGTGGTTCTGGCCAGGGCTCCTGCTGGTGGTATTTTTCTAGCTTATAAAAATAGCATTAACTTTGTTCCAGGTCTTTTCTTGGCTTTAGCACCCCACCTATCCTGAGAGGCAATAACAACCTGTTTTCTCTCTTAGGCCCCTCTCTTAGTTGTTATTCTTTATTGACCAAACTCCTGATTATCCATCAGATCTTGAAGATGCTACCTGTTTCTCTGGGAAGTCTTCCTTGACTCTCCAACCTGGCTGAAGCACACTTTCTTCTTTGTTCTTACTTTGTCTTGTGTTTACATGTTTATGTGCAACGTTGTTTCATCTAATTCCTAACCCCTTTAACACATGACCATTTTATCCTCATAAACCACAACTGTGCAGTGGTTTGCACATAGAGGGTCCTAAATACCTGCATATTTAGTAAATGAATGAATGGCATTTCCTCCATAGGGGGTGGATATTTCAGCTGAGAGATATAGTAACCTCTCCTTATAGAGGCAACTGTCCTTATATAGAAGTTACATCTGACTCTGTTCTCTAGGAGCAAGAGATTCTGGTTTGTACACTCCCTAAGCAACTCCTAGGTGCCTGGAAATCTCCATCCTTTGTGTTCCCACCACATTAGCAGGTTTTGGCCAAGAGCAAACTTTGTGGCTAGGTTTAGCACCACTCTTTGATGAACAATACAGGATTCTTTGCCAGATGTTGGATTGGCTTAAATTGCTCATCTGGACCAGATGTTGGATTGGCTTAAAAACTGCTCATCTGAGTTGCAGAGTCAAACCAAAATAAGGATTTTGAATTTCTTTTCTTCTTTTTTTTTCTTTAATGCCAGATGAATTTATTCAACTAGTCTTAGAAAAGAGTTTCTGATCAGTGCTTCCCAGAGCAAAGCATAGTGTGTTCAAATAAGCAATAAAATACACCAATTTCTTATCTTACCATTACCAGTGTTCTAGAAGAATGGGTAGACAGACAGCAAATTTACTTAGCTTGATGATTTGGGGGAGTATTTATAAGATATATACATATGTGTATATATATATATGTGTGTGTGTGTATGTGTGTGTGTGTGTATGTGTGTGTGAATATATATTAATAAATTACATAATTTATTAATTTATTTTTTAATTTACACATATATATTAATACATATATATATATATATATATATATGTCATGTTTGACTAAGAAACATACTTACTAGGAATAAAATCCTACATATCTAAACATTAGGATTACTAACATGTCTGTGTTCAACATAGAACAGCTCCTCGTAGCAACACTGAAGTGC